CCACCAAGATCACCATCTTGGATCCAGAAACTGGTAAAGATCTGTCACCCTACGATGCCTACTTACAGGGACTAATCGATCGAAACCAGTACATCAAACTGTCAGAGCTGGAGTGTGACTGGGAGGAAATCACTTCAAGTGGTCCAGGTGGAGATACAATCATTTTGCACGATCGAAAAAGTGGGGATCAGTACTCTGTGAGGGATGCTCTGAGGGAGGGCCGTTTGACTCAACGTGACGTGAGCCGCTACAAGGAAGGGAAAATGCCCATTTCTGAGTTTGCTCTCCTCGTTGCAGGCGAAAGAAGCAAGCCCTACGTTCCTCCATTAATGCCAAAATCTCCCACCAAAACAATCCCAACCAAACCCATCTCAACCTCTCCCTTGAGCTCCATGTCTTCATCTCTGAGGTCCTCCTACACTAACCTGAACACTCAATACAGCGGCAGTCTCGGCAGTCTGACCAACCTCAGCACTTTACCAGGTGATGAGTTTTTCCCAATCTCTGGCATTTTTGACACCACCACCGAAAGCCGCATGTCTGTGAGAAGCGCCCTCACCCGCGGTCTCATTGATGCCGACACTGCTCTAAAGCTGCTGGAGGCACAAGCAGCCACCGGTGGAATAGTTGATCTGGGCAAAAAGGACAAGCTGTCTGTCCACAAAGCAGCTGAACAGGGCGTCATTGACACAAACCAAAAGTATAAGCTTCTGAATGCCCAGAAGGCCTTCACCGGAGTCGAGGATCCTGTGACCAAACAGCGTCTCGCTGTAGGACAGGCAGCACAGAAAGGGTTCATTCCCCAAGAAAATGCCAGGAGGTACTTAGAGGCGCAGTATTTGACCGGCGGGTTGGTGGATCCCACCAAAGCAGGCCGCCTCACTATCAAGGAAGCTCTCGCCACCGGTCTGATTGACAGCACAACGGCAAAAGATCTGCAAGATGAGGCTTCCCACACAAAGGAGCTGGTGGACCCCATCAGTAAAGGGAAGATATCATACAAACAGGCGATGGATCTGTGTAGAAAAGATTTCAGCACAGGCCTCTTGCTTCTTCCTGCAACCTCCACTGACGTTGCCAATGCTCCATCATACTCAAACTTCCGTTTCTAGGAAGTTTTAAAGTCTAGATTTAGCTAAAGATTTAATTTTCTACAGACTGTGGTGCTAGAGGGTGCATGAAAAGTCTATTTAACATATTTAGGGGGGAAAGAAAAACAGAAAGACAGGTGTTCATATGTTTTGAAAACACTGAAAAAAAAGTGTCTGGTAGAGCTGCACACTTTTATCTGTTTCATTTTTTCCAGTTCTATTGTTGGTCTGCTGTGAAAACAGTTATTTTTTGTTATGTATGTGCTGCATAGGGGCTTATTAAAATGCTTCACTTTGATTTTTTTTCTGCCTTGTTATTTAAAATACAACCAGTTGCAGCCTGTGATAGGCTTTTGACCAGTCACAGGTGTAACCTGGACATCAAAGTGCTGCAGAACTGAGTCGGTATGATCTGAAAGTAGCAATAGAACCTATAAACTCATCTGGAAAGCGTTTACTCAGGTCATAAAGCAGACTTATGTACAAATTTATGCAGCTGCATTTGCTGCCCCCTGCTGGACATTGCAGGTTCAAGCCACTTTTCCAGTTCTCCGGCCTTCACTTTTTAGTTTGCCAGCTTTGTCCATGTTTTATATACAGTCCATGATGACCGCGGACTCCTAGTTTTCAACATTAATATGAGGAGTCTGGCATTACCAGAAACAGTGTTCTTCATAAGTGACGCTTGTGTTGCAACTTGGAAATGGTGGATTACCCCTCTCATGAAAATAGTTGTACAAAGCTGCCAACCCCAGCGAGTCATATGTTTGGAAATGGTGGATTAAGGATACAGATTAAACATGAGTCACATAAGAGCACTGTAGTGTGTTAAGGTTAACAAGGTCGAACTCGTTGAGGCGTGCGTCTAATAACAGACTGCCCCAGCGACGTGCACGCCTTCTTGTCTCCAGGCCGATGAGCAAAGGAGTGTGCAGAAGCTGATTTGTCTACATGGGCCTAAGTTGTGATATTGGTTATGGTCTAACACTGCGGTGGTGATAGAAAACGGTGTTGGGAATGTGTGGCCTCCATGCTGGGATGTCTGCCTGCCAGATTACCCGGTGACTGTAAGGACTTTGTGGGATTATTGCACGTGAGCCTGTCTGGAGACTGCAGTAGCCCCATTCTGTGTCCAAAGCCGGGGGGATGAAGGATGTCCCCTGATTTGGTTGGGTCATTTCACTTAATGTAGTTGGCTCACGTGATGATGTAATTTCTCATTTTTTCAAAGTGAAAATTGGAGTTAAATTGTGGATTTCAGATGTTTTTGTGTCTAACCCCATAATGCGTGTCTAATAACCGCCTGCCTATTAAAAAGCCTGCTGAATGATGCAGAATATGGCAGCATCACTAGTGCATAGCAGCAAAAGTGGTCCCTTTGGACTCACCAATTATTGCCCGAGTGACGTATGCGATAATTGGAAGCTCCTCTTTGTTTTGTTTGATTATTGCAGTTATAATTCTAGACTACGGCGCTATCGGTTAAACATTGACAATGGGTCTCTGAATTGATTTGGACTCTGTGAATGAAGACGGCAAAGCCTCACATATGCCTGCCCTGCAATCATGCCAACAACATATCAGCTACCATTTGGAGCGCTCTCATTCAGGCAGCCCGTCCAGTATTTGCACTCTTTAAATAAATATAGGCAGCAAATTTTCAGTCTATTGTTGCTACTTGAAATTGATCATTACTGAAAGCCTTTAAATATAAAGCTGCAAACTATATGAGTTCTCATCACAGTCATCCACACACTGACAAATCCTTAAATAAACAGCATGCATGGCCTTATGAAGACCTCAGTATCACAAGACTAAAATAAAACTTTCTGCCAGGAGGAAGAAACTCCCATCGAGCAAAATGTGCAAAGGTGCCAGCTGGCTGGAATCAGCCATAAGACAAGATCGCTGCGAGCCAACTTCACTCTGCAGATTTCTGCTGGAAGAGAAAAATGTAACGTGAAAAAATCTTTAATGCAATCATCCTTCCCAAAGTCTACAAGATTTTTAAAAGGAGTCACAAATTGAAATAGTTCAGTTTCCTGAAAAAAAAAACAATATTTAAAGAGAGCATTTTTATACAGTAAAAGAGAGAGACAAAACTTTCACTTACCAGCTGCTTTATTAGGTAGGTGGCTTTTGCTCGGACAGCCTTTTACCTTCAGAACTGCTTTAGTTCTTTGCGGCACAGATTCAACAAGTTGAATCTGAGGGGGACATCAGAGGATGGGTACACTATACGGTCATACAGGAATGAACATGGTCAGCAACAATACTCTAGTAGGTGTGATGTTTAAATGATGCTCATTTGGTGCTACGAGACCCATGGTTAACCAAGAAAATATCCCCCACACCTTTACACCAGCAGCATCAGCCTGATACCAGGTAGGATGGACCCATGTTTATGCCAAATTCTGACACCCACTATCTGAATGTCACAGAAGAAATCGAGACTCATCAGATCAGGCAATGTTTAACCGACTCTAGCTAATAAAACTTCTTCTATTGTCCAATTTGGTGAGCTTGTACTAATTGTAGTCTTAGTTTCCTATTTAGCTGGCACAAGCACCACCCAGTGTGCTCTTCTGCAGCTCCATGTTCAATGTGCACTGAGAGATGCTCTTCTGTGGTTGTAATAAATCAGGAGATGAGTTGGCTTACCATCTCCTTTCAGCCAGAACACTACTGCTCACTGGATGTTTTCTCTTCTTCAGACCATTTTCTGTAAAGCCTACAGATGGCTGTGTGGGAAAATCCCAGCAGAAGAGCAGTTTCTGAAACACTCAGACCAGCCTGCCTGGCACCAACAACCACCTTCAAAGTTACTTAAATCCCAGTTCATTCTCACTCAGATGCTCAGTTTGAACTTCAGCAGGTCACCTCGTCCATGTCTACGCGCCTAAATGCGCTGAAATGCTGCAATGTGATTGGCTGATCAGATATTTGCATTAACGCACAGCTGATCAGGTGTACCTAACGGAAAGACTCTTGGGTGTATAACTGCACCCCAATCAGTTTTACATTTATTTACAATTTTTTTTCTTCTAATTAACAAAAAAAAAACCCCCAAAAAAACCCAGCTGATCCTAAGGTGATCAGATGAGAGGCACTGACTGATTTTTCACAGTCTGAGTCTTGCGTCATTATGTCTTCATACTTCACAAAACTACTGTATGCACATACTTACATTCCACTGAACCGTGTTCGGTCACTGATAGCTCGGACAGACTGCAGCTGGGTAAGTGGAAGAAAATGGTTGGATTATATTTTAATGGTTTTAAAGTTTTATTTCCATTTCTGATGAGTTTAAATTTCTCTGTGTTTAGTGGATACAGGTGCAGATTCAAATTCCCTACTTTTGGACCATAATCATCATTTTTGGACCATTACAGGGAAGTACCAAATCACCAGAGGTTAAGGTTTGGCCTTCATGACGTAGGAAATACGGGGGTCTAAATAAGTACCTGATCTTTAAGGTACAAAGTGTAAAGATAGAATCCAGCTTGTCTCTCACATTCAAGAGAGAGCAATTTTAAACCTGTGATGATTTTTCTTCCCATAGCTTTTTAAGAAATATCCATAAATGCACTTACATTCAGACTTCCACTCTCCGGTAGTGTTGATGTGACAGTTCTGGGTCATTTATGAGGTGACCACTACCAGGTTTGTCCTTCAGAGGGGTGGGAGCAGCTCGTCCTGGTACGTTAGGGGATTACACCTGAGTCGGTGACTGTGTCATGGATTACAGCGTCACCTGCACAGCACACTGTCTACAGCATGGAGTGCAGGGACAGCTAAAGACAGTGGGTGCTTGTGTAGGCTACGGTTAGTGCAATCTTACGGCAAAGAGAATATCAAATGTCTGAGAGAACAAAATACATTAAAAACGAAACTTTTTCATCTTAAAAAACAATATAAAACATTTTATTGAAACACTGTAACAGAAAAGAACTTAAAAAAAATTACATGGTTTGTCAAACTGTCGTCACAACTAACGCCAACCTGCTCTGTTTGTGCTTCTCTAGGTAAAGGTCATTGGTCCTACAGGTTAACTAATCCCCACTCGGTGGTTACAATAGCTAAAGCCCCCTAATGGAGCTGAGGAGGAGCTGGAGGATGGTGGAGCTGTGACTGAGCTGCTAAAGCCCGGTTTACTGACGTCAGACCACAGTTGTAGGAAGCCCAGGAAGGTGCTTAGCAGAAGACAGCTTTACACCCAAGCGCAAAGTCTACCACAAATGCGACATTTAACTCCAGTTACTCACTACTTGACTCTTCTCGCATATTTATAACACGTCACAGTACAGTATATAGTACATCCTTTGTTTTATTATACATATTAAAATCATTTCACATGGGATCAAAAGTCCAACAAATCAGAGAAACGGCTGGAAACTTGAGACAAACCCTGAAAGATGCTACAGAGAACAACACTGAATTCCTTCCTCTTAGATTAAAGACAGCCTGCTCGGCCCTCAGTAAGCACTTCATACATCAACGCGTTCGTCAGTCTTTGTCAGGGGCACAGTCAGAGGGTGCTGAGGGAAGCGGATCGCTTCGCTGTTGCGGCGCATGTACGCGTGGCCGCTGATTGGGTACCACATCTCGGTGAAGGTCAGGTTGGCCACGGTGATGGCGCATCGCCCCAGCACCTTGAAGCCCGACTTGCGGTAGAAGGGGATGAGGAAGTCTTCGCACATCAGCACCGCTCGGCGCACGTTGGGCAGGCAGCGGAGATACTGCAGGTAGCGCCACATGAGGATGGGACCTTTGCCCTGCTGCCTGAAAGTGCGATGGACAGCCAAGACGTGGATGTGCACGGTGGAGCCGCAGGGCTTGTGGAGCGTCAGCGCTTCCTGGAGGGGAGCGGAAATGGGAGGTTTAATAATTAGTGATGATTTTTAACTGTGAAAGGACAGAGAGAGAAAAAAAATGCAGGATGTCTTACTGTGGCGAGCCTGTCCTGGTCCCACAGAGAGCCGATGATAAAAGCCACCAACCGACCCTCCTCAAACCAGCCCATGGATAGCTCTGGACACAGTGTGAGGAAGTGACGTACTTCATCCAGGTGGAGGGGGCACTCACCTGACACTGAGATAAATGCTGAGAGAGAGAGAGAGAGAGAGAGAGAGAGAGAGAGAGAG